GAAAAAAAAACTATGTGAGCCTTTGGTTCCTTCATATTGTAATTAAGTTGATATTGCTTATGGTACAGAGAATTCAAAACTTATGCATACGTTTTTTTTTCTAATTTTGACTGATATTGCATTTACTTTGTTTTTTGTACAAATTTCTTATGAGAGCAATAGTGATCAATAGTGATAAAAAAAGTTTACCTACACCTCTATGACCGACACTGCAATTGAGCAGAACTGGGACATTATTCTTGATTTTGAGGGAATTAGTGAGCATTTTTCCCTAAAATGTCAAAATGCAATTTCTATTAAAAAATAGGACAAATTTATTCGATTGGTCGTGAATGACAGAAATTTGTTTTTACTACTAAATTAATATCTACCCAAAAATCGCAATAATCGCGGAAGAAACAAAATCGCTTGTGTGTGTGTGTGTGTGTGGGTGCGTGCGTGCGTGTGTGTGTGTGTGTGCTAAGTTTTTGGTCAGTTGACTATCAAAATAATAGAATCATGATGGAAATGATGTTAAGAAATTTGGGCACATATTTTCCCTGTTTCAATTCTACGCTTCGATTTTAAGTATACAGAGAAATTTTTAGGTAATAAAAATCTTAAAAATCTCCCTTTAGAGTAAAATTTGTCCTTTTTTAAGAGCACTTGGACACACTGGACGGAATTTAGTATTTTATTTCTCTACACATAAAAAAAGCAATAGTACGACATCTTTCTTTCCAATGCGGGCACACTTCGATATCAATTTGCCATTCCATTTAAAAAATTGCTGGCACGCCGAATTTACCCAATTCCGAAAGAACATCGCCCGAAAGACGAAGAAAATGGACGGGAAGAATTAATTTAGAAGTCGATTTCAGCGCTGAAACGCGAAGCGCACCATTTTTTTTTTACTCGCGTTCTGTTCGACAGTAATTTTAAACGAATTTTCCTAATTCGAATCGATATAGTTTGAGCGAGAGGTATTGCGTGTGGATTGTCACTTTGCGGACCGACTTTAGGTGAATAATGCACAGGTAAATGGAACTTTTCGGAGTATTCCTATTATATTTAATTATAAGTAGGATCTCCCTTGATACTTATTCTTGATCGGGAAGTATAGAGGCAGCTTGAAAACTTGCAAATGATGCATTTTTTGCGGGAGAAAATAAATTATAGTGAATTGAACACATAAATTAAGGGAGTTGCAATTTAAAACTATTTCCAGCGGCGTCCGTTAGTCACTCAGAGCTCAGTGGGACGCCCTTAAAGGACGCAGCTGGAAATTTGTTTTGCTTTAATTTTTTTAAAAATGTTTGTTAATATGGACACCGTATTTTTCATTTTTAACAGGTTATTGGAAATTTTAATTTATTATCTGAGAAAGTAATAAGTTATAGTGAATGGAACACATAAATTACAACTGAGACCTTAGTAGTAAGGATGTGCTGGAAAAAATTAAAGCAATATTCACCCAGTACATTAATATACTACATTATTATGGACTCATTTTTGTCATATAGGGAACTGTCGTCTCCTCTTCATTCGGTCATCCGCGGTATAAAAATCACACATTTCTCTTCTTTTTCCTCCAGAAATAAGAATAATCTGCTCTATCACATCGCATCTTAAAGTGCCATCAAAATTTTATCTAGAAAACCTAATCTAAACCAACATAGGGTATATTTTATGTGCCGTTGGAAGTATCAAAATTTCATTCAACATTCGTTACCAATATTAAGACTTGCCATGAGTTTTTAGAACTTAATTAATTTAAATTAATGCAAGGCACTAAAAACTGCATGTTTGCTGCATGAAGATCCATGATTTTCTGCGACATATTTTACACTCTGTATAAACGAGAATGAATTGTAGCCTTCACCCCTTTAATATTACTGTTGTTAAATAAGATTATTTTTATGAATGAAGGACAGTTTTACAGGTCATGAAAAGGAAAATAAAGGAAAATAATAATAACAATATTATATATATTATAATATATTTATATTATTTTAGGGTTCCGGGTCAAATATGAGACGACGCTTTCAATTAAATCGTAAAAGGGAATTTTGGCAAATACTTCCTGTGCGAACTTAAACTTTTGAAAAACAACCACCGCACATAACAATAGAAACGAGTAAAGACGTAAAACTTAATTTGTTTTGGTTCGTAGCCCAGTTTATCTCGTTTGATTGAAGTATTTGCTTTATCGCATCTAAAAATCTCGAAAAGCGCGTGTTTATAATTAGAAACCGTTTAGCGCGGCGAATTTTTTAAACAAACGTCGTTTCTATTTATTATGCTTCGGATAGGTATAATAAAAACTTGGTTTTGTTTATTTTCGCGTTGATTGGTTTTAAAGACAAGCCATTGTAGGCTAAACCATACTTTACCAAAATATTCTCATTCGAAATCAGAATTAATAATATAAAATTTTAAAATATCCTGGAACTTATGTTTATGGTTGTATTTTTGAAATTAAGTTTTGTTTAAGTTTATTATAAAAGGTTGACGTCCGTGTATCTATGCACATTCCTAACTTTTTAATGGAATGGCCCGACTGAAATTTGGATACTTGCGTAACTTTGTAAGTTACAGGATGATTTTAAGATCAATCCATTTTTGAGTAGCATCGTGTTATATTTGAAAAGATAAAATATTTTCAAACAGTTGATAGATTTCTTTGTGTAGAAGTCATTGGCGTGCACAAAAAATTTTTGCACTACCGTTGCAATAACTGCTGTGTAAGTTTCGTATCTAATTAAATATTGTATATCACTGACTGTAAGAGTGTGTTTTGAGAGTAAAGAAGTACTTATACACATATAAACTATGCTAAGTTACTGTTTGTTTGTGCCACTTCTATAGTGCATAAATCGGAGCCCTAACTAAGTTTTAACCGACAAATGTCAGATAAATATTTATAGAAAAGCTCTTCTCTAAAGTTCTGTTTATCAAAAAAGGTATGTTAGGGTTATAATTTAAAAAAAAAAGTCCAATTCCAAATGTGTGTGACAACGAATTTGGGAATGAGTGCATAAATCATACACCATCGAGTTAAGGCAAATGAAAGCTAGATAGATCCAAAGGAAAAATATGTATTGAACAAGCTGTACAAAACAAATTGGTGCAATCCCAATATCTCTTTATCCAGTACATATGGACAGACAGACACAGACACAATTCACTTTACAAAACAATGCATACAAGAATCTTTCAAGTGAACGATATCCAAGATACTAAAAATTGCCACCCCTTTGAACTATCAGATTCCATTTGTAATGTAATGTCATTAACTTAAGAAATAAATTTTTTCTTTTACTGTGAATACCGTATAGTGTGGGGTAATTTTATGAATCTATTCATATACCGGAAAATTGTAAGATAACTTTTTGAAGGGTCCGGTATAATTAACTCATGTGCCGAGTTTGTATAGATTTTAATAAGCCAATCTTCAGTTATTGAATTAAATATGATGGCAAAATGGCAAAAGGTCAATGCAACACCAGCGAATATTTCCCATGACGCCGTTTCCAAAACTTGACGACGTTTGGTTTCACACATTCAAAATAAAATTAGTATGTAAGTATATAATTGTTTTTCTTAGAATCAAAGTCATACTCGGTTATTAAGACCTCTTTGTCCCTTAAATCGTTCTTTGAATGAATGAATTTCATTTAATTCTTTAACTTCAAGTCTTTTATTAAAAATAATTAGTAATTATAATAAAAATACGACTACAAAACATTGTTAAAAAACATTATTTAAAATAAACATTTTTATGTAAATGTTCAAACAGTTACGCGATCATAAAATTCATTTCTAAAATTGTTAAGCTTGATATTCTGAAATCCTGTCACATTCTAAGGAAATATCGTTTTGTAACTGGTTAAGATTTTCAAATTTAACATTTTTATAGATAACATTTTTCAAGAAGTCGTTCGGCGACAGGTCAGGTGACCTGGATGGTCAAACATTACGGCACCTTGGGCCAATAATATTCCGGCTAAAAGTATTTCTCAAATTCTCCCTAACCATACGGTAATTATAGGCGGGACAACCATCCATTTGGTACTAGATCTCTTGATCTTCGCCAACAACTTCTGTTGAACAGTCGAATATTATGATTACAGCATAACATTTATTTTTTGAGGATATTGACTCCAAGTATGAACAAAACTGACTCCAATATCGACAGATTTGAACATTTCGTTCATTGTTCAGTGTCATTGTTAGTGAAACAAGTATTTTTTTAAAATCCCAATTATTATTTTTGTATCATTTCAAAACACAAATCTATTCTTCTTTCTTCATTGTCTTCCCGGAGCTCTTAGTACTTTTCGTATTTATACGAAAAATATTTGTGCGTGCGCAACCCTGTGGTTTGATGTTTATTTAAAGGTCGTCCAAGAATTCTCGTATTAATCATTTTATTTCTCTCCACATGTAGTAAAATGTTCAAATCTCCATTGTTCCTTTCTTCTGCTCTATTATCGACATTTTTAGTTGAACATTTGCAGTTATTTATTACAGATCCTTTGGATTCGAATTGGGTAATTACACGTTTATTTGTTAACATCGAAGGTAGAGGTTTAGCAGGAAAATAAATTGAAAACATTTCAGAAACTGTTCTAAGACTGTTTCTTGTATAATACCACTTAATTTTGAACCGCTGTTAATAAAGTATAACAATCACAAATAAAAATCTTGTTACTGTCTCGAATTTATTAACTATACTATAAAAAAATTGCCACGAAGATTGGTTTATTAAAATTTTAAACAGACAAAAAATGCAAAACACGCATTTCACATTTTCTCCGCTCCTTACTCATCAAACTAATTCTGAATCAATTTTTATTATAATTTTAAGCGCCTAATGTGAAACAATATTTTGATGTTCGATCGCGAAAAATTAGTATTATTTTGTTTGTTCTTGTCTTTTAAATTGTTCTCCACCTTCGTAATATATCTCCATTTCAGGAGTAGTATTTCACTTCAACCGATAACCTGTTTGATCACACCAGAATGGAAACCCAAATTAAAGCACAATACTTCAAAACATTCTGTATATTAGACAACATATACACAAAATCGTCTGGATAGACCGTCCTAGCTTCAGTTAGCCGCTATGCTGCTACACCCGTCTACGCATAGGTCTTCCCTGGATTTGGTGACGTTATCCCTCCTTTTTCTCAACACCATGACAGCGAACGCCCCGAGTATTATCGCACCGCCACACACGTCCGTCAAAACATCCCTGTAGTACCACAGGTTCGTCTGGTCGTCGTGTAACCACTGTATCACTTCTACGACTACTCCGTTGGACAGTTTATCTACGAAGCTCATTATACCTAAAAGTTAGTCTCGTAGACAAATTGGTCTTGCTGGAAAAGCGACCCCACCGTAAATAAAGGCCCCGCTATCGGTGTTATCTCCAATTAAATCTGTAGTGATGTCAAGACTAGAAACGGTGATGATACTGCCCGACGCCCCCAGCAAAGCGCCTACCGCGTAAATATAATACGAGGTGTACTCCTGACCCTGGCCCCACCTAATCCATAGGCACGCGATCAACCCGAGAGAGGAACCCAAGAGGAAACTTGTTTTTCTATTTGCGCATCTGGAACCAAGATGCTTCTGTCATTTAATAGTGTATTGTGTAACAAGTTTGATCAACGCAACTTTAGTCACGAGTTTGTCTGACACGAGCGGAGCCAGGGTTTTCGTTTTTGAAAACATCCGTGACTAAAGTACCGTTACGGGCTAACGAAGCTGACGTTTTGAACTGACACAACAACTATTACTTTTTTTTATTTTCAAAAAAGTGGCGGTAGTCAGAAACAATTACTGTTAGATGATAAACGATCCTTGACGACAAAATGTTTCCGACACTTGGGTTTAATAATGATAAGCAGTGATAATGATTATCTAGAGACAGATAATGAATTACGTGAAGAAATTTGTTTTTTGTTTTGTTAGGGGTTGTTACAAACTTATTTTCGACCAAATCGATAGTCATTATCTGAATCCGAAAAAAAAAATCCGGAAATATTCAAAATATAATTTACTTGATTGCTAAAAATTATAAGTCGCAATGCATGAAAAAGTAGGGAAATATAAAAGTAAATAATATTTAAAAAACTATAATTGTGTCAAAATATAACAATATAAGAAACGACGTCTTGGATGGGTTTAAAAAATATAATAAAATATACGCACTCGTTACTTTTACTGAAAATATTTTCTGTTTTCAAGATTGTTGTTAAAGAATCAACTTAAGGGCCAATTTTGTATGAAACTGAAATATGAATTTTAATAATGTGATGTATATAATGTAAACGGGGCTGTCCGTTAAATATTGAAAGCATCAAAGTTGTGTTTTAATAAGTAGTGCATTTTATCTCAATAAAATCATCACGAAGTGGAACCGAGACGTCTACAGACTAGATTTGGAATAAACGTTTGGTATAGGATCATTGCTAATCCACAGCCTAGATGGGCGGATGTACACCGTGTGCCAAATAAAACGATCTACTATACGATCTGAAAACCAATAGGAGATACGAAAAAAAGTTTCGAACAAAAGTTTCCTGGAATCTCCTGCAGATTTAAAATATTATAATTTTGTTGATACAGTTGCAAAAGTGTCCGCCCCGATATCGACTTTGTTATTTTAAATGGAACATCCTGTATATTTCTGCATTTTTGGAATACTTGGTTAACATAAGGGTCACTTTTTTAACAAATTCCTATTCGAATAATTTTGCATAGTTTAGGCAGAAATTGAGGTTATGTGTTTTTTTTTGATATTTTGATTGACCCATATAAATTTGTGTTGTTACGCTACTGATTCAGGTATTGCAACCAAATTTTAATCACAGACTAAAGAGATCAGTTTGAGAGATGCTTTTCTGCTTATACAGAGTATCCCAAATTGGTGGTGCCGTTTTGGCGAATTTTAAAATGGAACACACTATATTTTCATTCAGATATCAATTCTAGGACAAAAAATAAGGTAAGTTTGTAATTTATCATATATTTAAATTTTACTTACTTTTTGAGATATTCGAGGTTTAAGATAACACCCGTATAAATTCTTGTTGAATTTAAAGCTGCCCACATTAGGTCACTTGTTGGCGATATTAGGTATTTTTTTAATAGCAAAGACATTATACTACTTCTTTTAAAGATATAATACTCAAAAACAAACAAAAATGTCAAAGTTTGTTTATACCTTAATGCGTAAAAAAAGATTGTGATGTCATAGCCAACTACATTTTTAAATATTTTGATATTTTTTGTTGTTTTGATGCCAGATGAAGCGAGCAATTTAGGAGGAACATTTTTGACTAAACTTTAAGGATCGAATTAACGAATTTTTATTAGTACACTTTTTGTTTTCTAGATTTATTTATTAAAATTTCTTACCTTATTTGGTTAGCCTATAAAAATGTTTCTTTAAATGTGAATTCTAAAGAATTATTAAATCTGTTAAAGTGTGTAGTATAGAGTTGATTTTTTCAAAATTTCCACGTATTAGTGGGCCCCTGTATTGTTAGCAATAGGTTTTTTTTCTTATATCTTTAAAAGAAGTAGTATCATGTCTTTTCTATTTAAAAAATACCTAACATTCCCAATAACTGACCTAATGCGCGCAGCTTTAAATGCAACAAGTATTTGTACGGGTGTTATATTAAACCTCGAATATCTCAAAAAAGTAAGTAGAATTTAAATATAACATGAATTACAAACTTACCTTATTTTTTGTCCTAAAATATGGTGTGCTCCATTTTAAAATATTGAGTTTTTGTTAACTGAATCGACAAAACGGCACCAACTATTTGGGACCCTCTTTATAAGCTGAGGTGTATCTGTCAAACTGATTGAGTAGTGTATCCTCTCTTTAGTCTCTGGTTAAATTTTCGTTGCAATGCCCGTATCAGTAGCGTCACAACACAATTTTATATGGGACAATCGAAATATGAAAAAAAAAACGCATAACCTGCCTAAACTACGCAAAATTCGAGTAGGAATTTCTTAAGAAAGTGACCCTTATTTTAATCAAGGACTCCAAAGATGTCGAAATGTACAGGGCGTTCCATTAAAAAAAAAACAAAGTTGATGCCAGAACACTTTTGGGCCACCCTGTACTAACAAAATTATCATATTTTAAATCTTAAGGAGATTCCAAGACACTTTAGTATAAAACTTTTTTCGTATCTCCTATCGGTTTGCAGTTCGTATAGTGGATCGTTTTATTTGGCACACGGTGTATCTAGAGCTTTTACGACATCAAATGGTGCCAAAAAAAAATATATATGAATTGTATATGGAATAGATTTCTTCTTCTGGGGTCCATCCATTGACAAAGATGTCTTGGTATAGCACACTGTAAATTGTTTTTGACGCGATTTTCATTTTCAAATCTCTTGTGCACTAAGCAAAAATCGAAAAATCCAATATGGCGGCCACAAGAAAAATGAAAGTTAAGGCAGGTTATGAGATAACAAAATGCGATCGAGATGTCGTACACGCTATCTTACTTTTAATATTAATTAATTTAATTAATTTAAGCGTTTTTAATTTACTGACGAAAAACGAAATCCGCCATTTTTCGCCCATATTTCTCAAACCAATTGGCCGAGAGACGCGAATTTGGGACACACTGTATCTCTATGTAATGCTTAAAAAATATGAGGGGCCTGCAACATACAGTAAAAATGTTTTTCAATTTTCTCTACGGCTCATGTTTAAATCAGTTAAGCAGAATTTAGATCAACATTCGGAGAAAAAAGTGAACCCCTTTTCTTTGGATTTTATATTTTTATTCCCTGCAGTTTATAAAATATTTTCTGAAAAATAAAATTTCAACTTAAAAAACATAACGTATTACATAGGTTGGGAAAATGCTCTTGTTTCGTAATTGCATTGTTTAAAAGCAAAATTTTGCGATTCAGAGCAAAGTCAACCTTCAACGATACCAAACTTACCGGTTGATGGGTTCCACTATAAAAGACGTGGCGAAACTAGCTATGTACATCGCCAACGGTACTAAAGCTAAGGAACTGGCGACCATATCTAAGGCCTCGTGAAGGTATAGCGTGATGAACACTTGCGTCAAGTTGACGAACAGCCTCGAAGCCATGTATATCACAGCTATGTGGTAGACCCTGACGTTCGTAAGCAAATCTCTGACGCTGGTCCGCATGATAGTGCCCCGAACGTCACGGGGTCCGTTGGTAGTCCACGATTCTTTGACGAATACGTGAAACAATACTGAACAAACGAGGCCGAACGCCATGACAGCCCATACGATGTGCTGGAACTTGGTTTCGTCTCCTGGCCCGATTTTGGTATCATTCTCGCTGGAAAGATGGAGCACGCCCCAGGTCACCAAGTACACCAAAACGTTGGCGATCACCGTCAAGACGTTCCGCGAGGCGGTGAGTCTAGTTCTATCGTGCTGGTTCGGAGTTAGCTCCGGTATAAGCGAGAGATGGGCTATTTGCACAGCCGCCCACCCGAATTGAAATATAATAATGAACATGGAGTAGTACACCATTCGGGCGGTCGTGGAGGACGTTTCGCAACCAATGCACGGCGAGAAAATGAAAGGGAACGTTAGAAGGACGCACACCGTGCCTATCAAGTGCCAGATTTTCCGCCTTCCGTATATGCAACAATAGAAGTTGTCCCCTTGATCAGAATGGTAGCCTATGAAAGGAGTCGCGAGTGCGTCAGCCACTTGACCGACCAACAGCAAGCACCCCGCTTGCCAATTGTCGAATTCTAGGACTAGATGGAAGAAGACTAAAAGGTAGGTAAACCACATGGAAGCGCAGACGTCGTTGAGGACGTGGCCCATACTATAAGCGAGGTTTATTTTGAGGGGCAGCCTCTGGTACACTTCGGAGTAGTCGTCTTGGATTTGGTTACTCATTTCGACCCGTTACCTCAATTAAATATCTACTAAATAAATATATATTTCAAAAAATTAAAACTAGATAAAATGTGACGTTTTTGTTCCCATTAACGACAACAAAGGGAGCAACAAGGTGGCTGGACTCTGAAAATGGAGGTGGTTTGAAAGAAACGCGAGTTTCTCAGCATTTCTTTTTGTAGCATTGAAGATCCTGAAAGAGAAAACTGCAGATATAGTACTTATTATGTCGCAATGCTTTTTTTGTATAGTTGAAGAATCCGTTTGTGTGTGAATTCTTCAACTAAGAGCGAACTGCAGCATATACAAGAAAAGCAAATTTTAATTTAACACGTAATAATATATTTTGACACAGACTGTTCGATCAACCACGTTATCAAGATCCTACATTTTTGTTTTTCTTTGATAATAGTATCTGTGACCACTTCCATACCTATTACAGCAGTTTATTTTCATTCGAATGAATGTTGATGAAGTACTCGCAATCTACTAGTATTGGTTAATGCTATAGGTTAACACACATATGGTTCGATGATTTTTTATACTATATGTTTAAATTCAATGGACAAACCAAGGAAATATTTATAAAAAGAAATAATAATTAAATAAATTAAATTCGAAGGTTTCCGATCTCATTTGTAGAATGTAGGATAATATCTTTTTTATTTAGCGGCAATCAATTGAGAATGAATTAAAACAAATAGTAGTAATTGAATAAAGCGTTTATCTATACCAAACTGCGCTGAAACTTCCTGTGAAAATTTTGCAATATCTGTAGATAGTAATAGAAAACAATTACTCAGATCATGCGAATTCACCGCGAAAAGTTTTAAGTGTTTACCTTTTTGGGTCCGGAATTGTTTTGACAAAATAAGCGCTACTTTCGTAAACAGATGATGTCAATGACACTTGTCAGGACTTTTGGATTAAAATCCGATGTTCCGCATCTTGAGGTACAGAGTTTAGAGTTTAGATTTAAGATTAAATCACAATTTGAAATTCACGTTATATGTATACGTTGGAACATGAATATTAATTTTAAATAATAATTCGGGAGCATTATTATTTAACAATTTGTATAAAAAAAATACTGCAGACAGAGTTCTTCTGCTTTGTAGCGAATGAAGATTGTATGAGTCCATAATGTCTGTCTTTGGTATGTGCATTTAGTACACACCAGTTTCAAGGTAATAAACTCGGAAACTTATTTTGGAATTTTTCAATGTATATAAACGAACAATGTTCAAGTGTATACATTGTTTTAAGAATTATTAAATTCAAAATTTTACAATTTTATATAACATTAATATGTGCCCTGAAAGAGTATCAAAGGATACGCCAAGATTCCGCACTTCCAAGTCTGCAGCCAACACTATTCTCCTAATTTTAGATTCCTATTTTACTTGTTTCCTTTTTCTACTAAAGCTAAGCACAGACCACTTAACAATATTAAAATTTAATTTAATTTTTATAGTCCAATCATATATTCTCTGTAAGGCTTGTTGAAGTTTTAGACAGTCAATGTAAGTTTTAATTATACCATAAAATTTGAGATCATCAGCATATAAAAATATTTTCGAATCATAAACTAAAGCAACCAAATCATTAATAAACGAAAAAGCGATCGATCAAGAATGGAACCCTGCGAAACACCTGACATTGAATACGAGACTTACTCTTTTTATAACAACTCGTTGTGGTCTCCGATAAGGGAGGATATTATTAATAGTGAAGAATTGAAGTCAAGGAATAAACCTAGTGATTTCAAACTTACCGTATAGGCAATAGTGATCAGGCCCTAATAAGAAGGAAAATATATTGTCTATAAGTTCCTACCTTGGATACACTGAACAAGAAGCTGGAAGAAGATGAAACCAGGACAACTATGTAGCATTTGTGGAACCAAGTAAAATAAAAGGTCAGAGCTGAAAATGTTACTCCTACTTTAAGTTCCATCATAAATTTGGTAAAAAATGCAATTAGTAACATACCAATTGAGATCTGGAAAAAATCAGTACAGCACATGATAAAAATTGATAATGAAACATAATTGGATTTAGACGTTTAGAATAGAAACTTATTATATATAGATATGAGATTATTATATATATTTAATGTCATTGTTTTTTTAGTGTAATTTAATAAGATTATACCGACCTAAATAAACCAAAATAACTAAATATATAAAACTTTGAGAGTCCGCCCCTAATGTTCTGTCCTTTAGTACATACCGGGGCCCAGTTTTGTTGCCGTCGGCAGGTAACTTCCATAATTGCGGGCACAAGCCAGCACGATGAAGATTCAGACAGACCATACAGTTACGAAACGTACAGTTGTAAATGAAATAAAGATAAAAAACTAACCAAATTTGGAAATGTGCTGTAAACTGTTGTTAAAAAGTCATTATATATCCGTAGCCAATAGTGTAGGGAAATTTTCCTATTATCTTCTTGTTCTATTTGTGGGATAAAAGACAAATGAGTCTTCAAAAAATCAAAAATTCTGTACCTTTTACACGGTCATCTTGGATTCCGTTTCAAAATGGTTCTAGGAATACGTTTTTGAATTATTAAATTAATATAAAAAAATTAAGGAGTTATTAAGTCTGTTTCTTAAGTAGAGCTGACGACTCTGCTATCTAGCCCGTGTAAAAAAAATGCTAATACGGGCTTTGACAAAAGCACTGAAAATGAACTTCGTTTTTTTTTAAGAGAAAACACCATGGTGAATTTCATAGAGTGCCACCATTTTAACGTAACTGTACGACAAGTACAAGGTGTATCATAAGAAAACGAACAACTTGGTGTTATACTTCAATGAAGTTCGGCTAGTCAGTTGAATTCTCTGTGAAAGCAATTTACACTAAAACAAAATTTTTATAAATAAAAATGTTATGTTATGGAAAATGCATACATTTCAAAAAGCCTCTGTAGCTCAAATCAATCAAAAAGTATTTTTCACAAGAAAACTTATTTTGAAATTTAAGTGAAATTTATTGTTACCAGTCCGAGTTCATTGGCGTGCGAGAATTCCTTTTTTTTTCGCTGTTTTTGAATGCTTTTAAATTAACTGAATTTTCATTGTGTCAAAAATGCGCTTGATATGGTTATTTTGAGAGTATCTGAAATATTGAACCATGTGCGTTTGCAATACGCAATCTCCTTTATCGAAACATGAAGTGCACGCAACGTGTTGATTTTTTAACGTCTGGCTACCTGATCGATAACAATAAGATGTCTATTTTAATTTTATGATGGCTTAAGTAATAATGCGATGCGAGAATATGCAGTTCAACAAATGTATATTTTTAATTAATAATAACAGCGATAATGAATATAAAATGACAAAAGACGAATTTGCTTAGCTTTTTCTATTAACCTATTTTATTCTAATCTCTAACTTAAACTTATAGAGTAAGCAAATAGGCATTTCAAAAATTACCTTACATATGTTTAGAACCTTATTCAATCTCTCTTTAAAAACACATCTCCTTCAGCATGGAAAGAACGAAAAATTTGCCCAGTTCTTAAAAAAAGTGATGTTACTGACATTAAAAATTACAGACATATATTTCTAAATATTGCTTCCACATAGTTGTTCTGGTTTCATCTTCTTCCAGCTTCTTGTTCAGTTTATCCAAGGTAGGAATAAAAAGACATTATATTTTCTTCTTATTGGGGCCTGATCACTGTTGCCTATACGATGAGTTGGACATTACTACGTTTATTCCTTGTCTTCAATTCTTCTCTATTAATAATATCCCTTATCGACGATATTGGCGTTTTTGTAAGTAGACAGGTTTCATTTAAAGCTTTTTGTTGAATAAGTCCTCTACTGATTAAAATACCTTTTTCGAAACGCGCAGATTATTCAACACTAAGGCAAATCGTCAACACTCAAGAAAAATATCAGAAAGAAAGAAATATACCTGGCCCACCCCAGCCTTGTCACAAGTAAGAATGCGTTTTTTGTTAATGGCCGATGAAGATTCAGACAGACTATACCAGTTTGTATTTTCTATATCGCCAGGTTTTTAATTTACATAAAAACATATTTAACTAATTCGCTTTCAAAAAAAACGTTGTTATTAACTGAATACACTGGGTATAACTATTATGATGTACTCGAATTTGAAAGAAAGTCAAACAAACTTTCAGCAAAGAAAGAACGCTGGGTGTCCCAAAAAATAAAATTTGTGTGACTTCTCTTTTCATCGTTGGGTCTAAATCGATTTTACAATTAAAACGTACGTATAAAGGCCGATAATTACCTTATACGAATATTTCCCTCCAATTTATAGATGGTTTAGCAAAATAAAGGAACACGCAACACCACTGGCAATCAGGATCGGAATAATAACCGCAAATGTAAATAATTCTGTTATAAAGGAAACGATAAGGATACGTAGGATTCGAATAACGATAGGCTTTGTATTTATGTCAATAAAGTACTTCATATTGTTTAAAAAACTGGGAAAACTTTGCAATCGACTGTATCATTTTAATTAGATGTAGTTGTACAGTATAGGCCTGAACAATAAACATTATAGTCTTAGCCAACCACAAAAATTCTTGACACTGAGTGGCTTGAAGATCATCTGTAAAACTTTTAACTTTAATCTTGTATCTACTATATGATCTATAATCATTCAATTTGATCATAATAATTGGTAAAAAGTACGTCTGTTGATAACTGTAAAAACTTAATGTTCTATTGATTATTTTTATTTGAATTTTTTATATAAACATTTTATATAATTGTTGTATTAATATTCTGTTTTCAATTTAAAATAAAAATCATTTAATATTCAGAAACAGATAAGAGATTATAAACTATAAAAGAATATTTTGTTGAACAATATATTTTTCCCATATCTAATATCAATCTTAAACTTCCAAAAAGTGTCTGCAGTTCAGGAAATAAATCGTTAAGATAAGATTTGTAATTGGATTCCAAATAAAATTCGTATTCCAGGACAATTCTGACATCTTCAAACGAGCTGTAACGGAGACAGCAAAAATAAAATAAAATGCTCGTAACAATAGTATTCCACATGTCGTATGGAAAGAAAAAAATCACAGGATTCTGCTACTACTAGTCAAAGTTTAAACTCAAAAAACACATAAGCTATTTTCCACAACCGAAAAATTCCGCTGAGTGTCGGCCATAGGCGTAGGTAAACTTGGTGCAATGGTACAGTGGATAACGTAAACTAGAGAAGACTCCACTAGTGAAAGCAAGCAAGTGTGGCAATACACAAAACCAAATTCAAAATGAACAACGTTAAACTATTGTTTTATCAATCAATTGAGAAGTTTGCACTAGAGAACTAGCGAAAGGCAGTTTAACATGTCACAAAAGAAAAACAGAAAGCGTGCGATGTTTATTTGGTCGATCGGACCTTCGCGTCGACATGTTAATTATAGGGTCACGAGGAGATGAATGGTTGTTTCTTTTATTACATTTCTGAGGTATTCCAAGATGCTGGAGTCGAATATACGAAACTTTATTAGTAAAATGTTTCAATAATATAAGATTATCGTTAGGGTTGCTATTAATACTTCGATACTTCGAATCACACCACTTAGACCAGTCAATTTCGGTAAATAGAGTAAAAAGATTTTTTTTTTAATAGATCTTTTTCAGAACAGCCAGAGAAACTTTTTTACTCGTAAAAAAAATCAGGTGAACAACAAACATCTTTCCTTTTCATTTAGTTATTTCTTTCTTTCTGCTCAACATTTTTTTTTTCAGGATTGTGCAAAAATGTATACTTCCTCAACCACACTATCGCTTCGTTTAGTGTAATTTTTTACCTTCAACTCGTATAGTTTTGACCACTGAGTGCACTTTTTGTCGACTTTATTGCTGCTAATCTTCTAATCGCCGGGGATTATTCCAGCCGTTTTAATGGACTTTTGATGATGCGAATTATGAGGAGGTTAGAGCAATTTTAATCGTCCCTTTATGATTATAGTCGTGACGGTTAAAGTGAAGTAATGAACTTCAATCTTTTTTGATGGCCTACGATAAAATTTCGGACGTTTTGCTTGTACCATAGTTTATCATTAGGCCCAATGAAAACTGTAATAAAGTCAAATTACATTGCCGGTCGTGACAATTTAAAGATACAAAACAAACCTTCCTGTTATATCTACGAACGCAATAAAACAAAACGTTTTCCACAGTTATTTTTTATAATTATTGTTCAGTTTCTAATGTAACTTCTTACAGCAACCATAATGGTAACAATAATTTCTATATCTAGATACAAACTTATTATTTAGACCCTACAAACCATTGAAAGCATGAGAGTGTGCCAAGAATTATATACTTGCCTACTTTTCCTCTGTAGTGAGGAAAAGGGCCACTTTCCTCACTGTTTTGAGGAGAGATTATGCTATAACTCAATTCAATTCATTTTCCTAATTGCACCATAACTATATATCTACATACCTTCACAATGTAATCTATATTACCAATCCTTGAGGCACTACATAATTTTTTTTTGGTCGCTGAACTTTTATTATACTTCTTCACTAATTTGATCGTTCAGGTGATTTTGGAACCACTTTAATGTTAATCAATACCGATTGTTATCGTTTGTGAAATTTAAGTTGCCTCTGCCTCTGAGTGTTGTTCATTTCATATGCCGAAAATACTGCTTCATTTAATGTAGCCTTTCAGTTAACAAGACCGCACATCAGTTTTTAATTCTGAATGTAGTTGATGGTTGTTATTTTCGGCAGAGCAAATTTCTGGTAATTCATAAGAGATCTTGGTGAGCGAACTAGGGAAATGAGGCAAGTCGCCTGAAGGTCCATCAATCTTATAAATTCAAATACCATCTTTTATCGTATATTTGTTTGTCGTTTAAATATCTATGAATTATCAAGTGCGAATTAAATTAGATCATGCGACACTTAATATAGATTCCTTATCAAAGTCAAAATACTGATACCCGTAGAACTTATTTATTTGACAAGATCTAACTGAGTATACCACAAGAAAACCTTCTGGTGGACACTTCGCCCCTTGCCTGTATTGACAGTGTGAATAGAATACTTCTTGAACATCTATGACTAGTACCATACGTCGCATCATTTCCCTAAATTTATATATTAGATAGCGTCAAAGCTAATATTCTAATATTAGTTAAGGTGTGTATAAGGGATAAGTATACCTACCTAGATAATAATAAAAGAATCCTAAATAAGAAATAGTTTGATATGTTGTTGATTTCGAAAAATCAAAGAAACATCCGAAATTTGAAGGAACATATTTTGTAGTTACACTTAGAGGAGTAAATTTATTTTAATTTTAATTTTAATTTTATTTACTAAAATCTATGACGAACTAATGCAGAGATCTTTTTTGCAAGCAGCTTATAGTGTTGTAGAAAAATCAACCAAAATTTCCATAACAACAGACCGTATTGTTATCGACATAGCTGAAAATAACTCGCTGATAAATAATAGCCGCTGACCTAATTACATTCTAATTATTTTAAACTTTCCACGGACGATACGAAAGGACAAAAGATAGGGCCACACTTACCTTTGAATCAAATCCTATCATTGTGAACCGTTAACCTCAAAACAACGTTTTAGGTTATTATCGACGAATATTTCCAGGAAATATAGAGGAAACAATTGCAATATGGACGCGCGGTTGCCTCAAAATACATATTTTAGGTTGTCATCTTTCATTTTTCTTCCAAACAAAAAAACGACTACGACTTATTTGTCAAACATATTACTTTCCAACACTTATTTGCCTTTGTTTTGACACACTGCGTGACTCTATGCGCCGGTTGATCTAGGTGGACACCAGCCAAAGAATTGCCCTTGTTGCCATGTCGCATGGCAAATTTTCTCTCTCTCAGACGAAAAATGACAACTCACTTATCCCAAACTCATCGTATATATTGGTGGCAAAAATGACTTTAAAAACCTATACAGACTTCAGCGAAGTTATATATTTCAAATATTATTAACATATTTGACTTTAATATTAATTAATTGAATAAATCAGAATCCTATGACATCATAAATTACATCATGAAGAATCAAAATATCAATAGTACATTGATAGTACAAGTTTGATAAACTCCACGAGATTGTTATCACGGCTAACTGAAGAAGTTTATCACATTAACCTAAAAATGTTACCATAATAGCGTATTTTAGAGCAGGGAAGATTTGTGATCAATAATAATAAAAAACTGTCTGTATTACATCATAATAACAGTGCTAGCACCCAAGTATTACATCATAAAACAGTGCTAGCACCCAATAGGCTTAATCACCAAACCATAAAAGAACTCTTTTCATTGTATATTTAATCACTTACGGCAATTATTTAGTCATTTTAGTCAAATAGTAATTTTATACTTCCATTTTAATTTAAAGACATTTCAGACAAAGCGCCAACGTTGCAGTTGAAATCGGGGCAAGGGATTTCAAGTTACGACGTACCGCACACGTTTGACTCATCGACCGCGTTCGCCGTGGTTTCCTTGATGATTCTCACAGCTGTTCTGGCTTTGTATACACTGCTTGAACCGAATCGCGGAGGATGAGAAATCAATTTCACTCTAACGTGGATACTTATTGGCAAAATTTTGATTATTGAATGGAGCTTAATAATTTTTTAAATAAAGATACTATGAATTATTCAGAATGTAAAAGAGAATGGCAGTCAAACGGTAAAAAAAAGGAAAGAAGATATATATAATTTTGTTGATGGTGTTAGGTGATCTATGAGAAGTAAAGGCTCTCTGAGGGAATAACAAAAATGTTGACAATGTATTCCGGGATATGCTGCAGACGTTTCCCGAAGATCTCACTTGGCATCTTCAATGTGAGCATTATAATTTCTATTAGTCTTTTTCCTATATAAAATTAAATTAAATTTAAATTAATCCGTACCATAATTATTGATCTAGAAGTTACCAATTCAATCCAAATATATCATCGGAGGCACACTAGAGAAGACAGTAATATAATTGTTATTATCTCTGGTCGACTTATCTTAAATGTCTTTGGAACAAATAATTACGATAGAAGAAAGAGATTAAATAAATAAGCGATGTATGTATAATAAAAAATCTAACTGGAACTAACGTCTGATCACCATTCTCTTTTAAGATAACGTCGATTCTTATCTGATCATGATAGGAAATTCCGATTCAATTTCAAAATACTGTCTAGGCCTTTGTTTTCATCTTAATTATTTATTTTGAATAAATAATATTGCACCCGGGAAGATTTTGAGGAAGTGATGCCAGGCACCATGAAACGCAAAACCTCTCTATACCTTCTAATTTTTATTTTCTGTAGCTTATTTTAATTTTGAATCTTTGAAAGTTCATACAAACATGCCAAATTATTAATTGCAGCGACGGTCTCAAATACAAAAAATACTTAATTAGTATTGTTATAATTTTTTGGCTTGGAGACCTAAGAAACTGCAGTCTAAAATAAAACAAAAAACCAATTGCATTCTGCCCTGCCTCAGCAATTTTGGGACCGATCGTAATATAATAAGTATAATAAAAATATAA